TGCCTGTTGCATGCACACATGCCGTGACACAAGGCACACATGTAATGATGTGTGCATACATATTACATGTACACATAGACTCATGTGCCTCTGTATGGGTGTGTTGTGTGTGCACGCTTGCACGCTCTACAGCTTGAGGCACAAGGCCCAGAACCCAACAGGAAGCATAGAGGTCAACAGCTAATTCACAAGAGTCACAGGAAGAGCCCTCAACAAAGGAAAGGACATTCAAACTCACTCAGAATCAGAGAAACCTAAATCACTATTATTATTATTATTATTGGGCCTGGGGATTGAGCTCAGGGGCACTGACCACTGTGCCACACCCCAGCCCTATTTTGTATTTTACTTAGACACAGGGTCTCACTAAGTGGCTTAGCTCCTCGCTACATTGCTGAGGCTGGCTTTGAACCTGTGATCCTCCTGCCTCAGCCTCCTGAGCCTCTGGGATTACAGGTGTGCGCCACTGCGCTTGGCAGAGCAACACAAATTACAACTCACTAAAGTGCTATTTCTTGCTGCCACGTGGGCGAAGGTCAGAAAGCACAGCCACCCCAAGGTGGGGGCTGAGGAGCAGGGCCCATGTGTCAGGGTGCAGAGCTGGGTGACCTTGAACCGTGACCAGATCCTTGGACCTTGAAGGACAATAGTGCAAGAGGGCTTCGTGGCCGAGGAGAGGTGCTCTGCTGTCAGAAGGTGGGAGCTGGCCAAGTGCAGGTGCAGGACAAGGCAGCGGTCACTGCCAGCCGAGGTGAGGCACCTGATGCAGTGCTCCAACGTGGAAGAGCAGGTGTGCGCAGCTGCTCACAGAAGCTGTGTGTCAGCCAGGAGCGCACAGCGGGCCCTGGAGCAGTCCAAAGAGGAGGCTGCAGACTGAGGGAGCGCCCACAGGGGGCATAGTCACAGGTGTGCAGTGGGCTGCTTCTGGCTCCTGGCTCCCGGAGCACAGGACTAGAGTGTGCAAGGTGCACGTGCTACCTGCACAAGGCCTGCGCCAAGCACGGGTGGGGGGGCGTGAAGTGGGAGAAGGCTGCACGGGTGTCCCAGGTCGTGGGTGCAGGGTAGGGACTGACCCTATGAGGGGTGGTGACCCTCAGGCATTCTGCTGGGCCTGGCTGGATCAGGGTTGGGGGTGGTGTGCATGGGAGGGTGCAGGGGCAGGTGAAAGGAGGCCGACTCCAGGAGACCAGGGGGCTGATGGGAGGTCCTTCTGCGGAGCTGACCACTCCTGCTTGTCCTCTGCTTCCAGCTGGTGGCCGCCATTGTGTTCATCAGCTTTGGTGTGGTCGCAGCCTTCTGCTGTGCTGTCGTCGACGGCGTGTTTGCTGCACAGCACATTGTGAGTACAGTCCCCACCAGGGTGACAATGGCTCCAAAACCAGGCGCCACAATGACAGTCACAGGAGGGAACAGAATCCGCTCTCCTGGGGGGACATAAATGAACGAAGTGGGCTGTGGTGAGCTATCCTGCAGCAGGACACCATGAGACAGATGGGAAGGGTGCTGCAGGAGAGGAGTGGCCGCAGGGGACACACTGAGGGGCACAGTGGAGTGGGACAGGAGTGGCTGCAGGGGACACACTGAGGGGGACATGGAGTGGGAGAGGAGTGGCCGCAGGGGGACACACTGAGGGGTGCACATGGATCGGGAGGGGTGTGATCGTCAGGTATGACACATTGATTTGCACATGATGGAGTGGGATGGACTGCTGGCCTCTTATATTCCCCCATGACCTTGCTGATGGTGGCCAGGCTGGACAGGAGACCATCTGACTCAGTCCACCCTGGTGAGGCCCCTGGCAGTGCAGGACTTCCCATTACTGAAAGAAGGTCTTCCCAGTGACTGATGTACCATGATGCTTCTGAGACACCATCGTCACCCAGAGTCACTTCCCACTGGGACATGTGCCACGGGGTGAAAACCCACTGACCGCTGTCCCTGAACACTGTCTGGGGTGGGAAGCCATTCTCGCACGTGATTGGGCACCTCCTGGATCGGGTGTGAGGCATTCTGGCCCAACTGTGTCGGAGCTATCCCCCCCTCTCCAGGTGTGAGAGCCTGTCAGTGTGGGGGTGTGACTGACCACTGACCCTGAGACCAATCACTGACCCTGACCTTGGAATGCTGCCCCCCTCGACCTTCATTGGATGGAATTTTCCCCTGAATTTCTAATTCCCCAATAAAAGCCCACTCCCTGGCGTGCCCTGCCTCTCTCCTGCTCGTCCTGAGTAAGCCTTGCTGCCCCACCGGGCGGTTCGAGGTGAGAGCCAGAGAGGGGGAGCCGTCTCGGACCTGGTCATAGGAAAAGGTGACTGAGTCTGTGTGTTTTCCTTTGATCTCACTAGTTAACTTCTATGCCACGAACCTCTTTAATGAAACCAGTGTGCTGGTCGCCTGGTGCAGTCTGGGAGCTCTGACACTGCCGGTCCGAACCTCCCATGTCACACCTCCTGGCCACCTTTACCTCTGCACACCTGGTGTCTGTCCTGCGTGTTCTTATGCCCTGGTCCTGGCATGGTGTCCCCGAGGAAGAGGACACCACAATGACAGAGATGTGGCTGGATGAACCTAGCGCGGGCCTGGTGTGTGCCACGCCCCGGCATCTGCTGCTGAGAGACAGGAGTGGTTTCCTCCTCCAGCACGACCAGGGCTGCAGACGTCTCTCTGGTCAGAAGGAGGAGTGTGAGAAGTGGAGGATCACAGTAAGAAAGCCAAACAGGGCCGGGCCCCACCTCCTCCACAGCTGGCATGGCTGTGGCACTTCTCCGCTTTCCTGTAGCTCTCAGTCTGCTCTGCTACAGCAATCGTACGCATTTTGCAACCGTTGGTCTATGGGTCTGACTCCCTGACTGGTCTGTGAAGCAGGCGGAACTCTGGTGCATGTCGGCCTCCTTGGGTCTGAGGCTGCTGTGCTCCATGGAGTTGGAGACAGACGGATGCGACCATGGCCTGCCTGTGCAGTGGGTGGCTCGGGACCCATGGAAAGATGGCTGTCTGTATGTATGGAGGACTGACAGATGTTAGTATGTGTGTATGCTGGACAGATGGCAGGATGATGGATGGTGGATGGCTGGGGTGGTTGGGTCGGTGATGATGCGCGGGTGGGTGGATGGGCAGACAGAGGGAGGGATGGATGATGGATGATGGATGGATGGATGTGTAGGTGGTGATGCACAGGTGGGTGGATGCACAGAGGCATAGGTGAGTGAATGACTGGATGAATAGGTGGACAGTTGGGTGGGTGCTTAGATGGGCTGGTGGGATGTCTGAGTGAAATCCCTCTTGTTACCTTCCAAAGTAGAAAAAAACAGTTTTGCTCTTAGGAACAGAGCCGGAGTCAGGCGTCTGTGGTATGGTGAAGCGCTGTCACCCTTCTGCCTGGTTGACTGGTGGAGAAGACCTGTCAGTCCAGCTGAGTGGCCCACGGGTGCTCCTGCGCTGGGACTTCTGCTGCCCTACCTCTGCACAGGAGCCAGCTGTCTTCTCTGGCAGGCTCTGGGGTTGACCTCTGTCCTGTGGGCCCTTGACCGTCCTGATCAGGGTTTCTTCTCTCTAGGAACCACGGCCCCTCAGTGCAGGAAGATGCCAGTTCTACTCTAGTGGGGCAGGGTACCTGTATGACGTCTACCAGACAGAGGTGAGCTCTGCTTGCACTCGGCTTCCCTGGTGGAGCTCTGTCTGGTCACAGGGTGACAGTTTTGATGAAGGAGTTCTTCCTGTAGCCCTTCCCACTGTGAGGCGGCGAGATGTCCGTGCTCCAGGATTGTTTCTGGGCCAGCTATGGCATGTCAACCTCCTGTATGTTCTTTGGAACCACAGCTGTGACACACGGAGCTGAGGTTCCTTTGTGCTGCCCCGTGTGGCCTTCTAGTTGGCATCTGTACTGGCTCAGTGCTGCAGCGAGGCCCTGGGGTGACACGGCCCGCTGTCTTTCCTGGGCTGAGGACAGCTGCAGCGTGGCCTCATACCAGCTGAGGGATGCCAGGAATGACAAGAGCACTTGGTGGCCTCAGGTTGGAGGCCACCACAGGTGCACACGTGGCTTACGGCAAGTCCACATGGCTGTCCATACCGGGGCCAGCGCTGTCTCGCACTCAGCTCCATGTGGCTTTGTCTGGCCCTCCTGTGCCAGTGCTGTGGAGGTTCCTTAGTTTAAACAAACATGGCCTCTCAAACTGAGTGTCAGCGTCCGAGGAGGGGCAGAGAGTGGCCACCACCACTCCAGATCCAGAGAGGTTGTCCAGTGCTTAGGGCATCTTGGAGAGAGGCGTCTGTGTTTCACACCAGCAAGGATCTCCCTGCTGTGCCTAGAGGGGGAGAGCCCTGTGAGGATCAGGAGGGTCTTGGCATGAGTGGAAGGACAAGGAGCCAGGCCCCGATGGACCTGATCGTCCCTCTGTTCCCAGGTCACCTGCTACTCTTTCAATGGCAAGTGCCAACTGAAGGTGAGGAGCAACACCTGCTACTGCTGCGACCTCTACACCTGCGAGAGGTGAGGGTGCCGGGGTGGCCCCACACACGCCCACACACGCGGGCACTCGGCATCCGCAGAGCGAGGCCCACGTGGTGGCGCCTGCCGGGGGTGTGCCCTCCCCTCCTGACAGGCTTGTCCCTCCCCTCACTCTGCACCCGATGCCTAGTTAATGTGGGCAAAGGCACTGAGGTTCCTCAGCCAGGAGCTGGGGCTCGGGGCCTGCCCGGGGAGGCCTTGCCCTCCTCTGCTTGTCACCTGCTGCCACCAGGGTAGCCACCAGCATGACCTGGCACTGTCCCTTCTCAGGGCTAGAGCCCCTGGTGCCGGAGTCAGGGCCAGAGAGTTGGGACTCTGGGTGTGTCCTCTGCACTGACCAGAGTACCCCAGGAGGAAGCCTCCCTGGTCAGGCCTGCCAGGTGCAGAAGGACCCGGGACAGCCGAGGGGCCCGCAGGGCTTGAGAAGGGTGCTGCCCCTGGGCAGGGCGCTGGCAGGTGGCTGGCGTGCTGCTGTGCCAGGGCCACTGTGCCAGCGTGGGCTGCCTCTGTGGCCTGTCTGTGCAGCTCGGGGACCTCTCCCTCCCCCTGCGTTTCCCCTCTGGCCTGGAGGAGGCTCCAGCAGGTCTGTTTGAAGCCTGGCTGTGCTTCTGCCACTGTCTCTGCAGCAGGCCCTGAGGACCCCAGGACCATGGAAGCCTGGCCTGGGGTGGCTGCAGCTGGGCAGCACGGGGGCTCCTGGGGTGCGGTCTTCTGGTCACCCTGGAAAGAAATGCCAGCACTTCAAAAGGTGCCCTCTCACCGCCCCTGGGCTTGAGGGGGCTTTATTGGTGGGGGACAGGGCAGTGCCCTCAGTTGCTGCCAATTCCAGGTGGAGCCGGAGCCAGGACAGGTCTTGCTGATGGGCAGCTGCAGACCCACCCCAGGCTGGCTCCCAGCTTGGGAATGCGTGGTGGCCAGGCGCCCTTGTTTGTGCTGCCCATGAGCTTGTGGAAGCACCCCCAACCCGGTGCTATGCAGCGAGGCCACTGCTGCCTCTCAAGACACAGGCCTGGGGCTCGGGGGCTCAACCTGGGAGCAGCCTCTCTGGGGAATGCCAACGTGGGATATACGGGGTGCAGCTTCCCTGGGCTTCTGCCCCCTGGAGGCAGGGTGCCCACCCCGCAGCAGCTGACCCCAGGTGCCTCCGCCACACACCAGCCCTAGCCCTGCACATGGGCCCCTGCCCAGGAGGGCGAGGGACCCCTCAGGCATCGCCTGCCAGGCCCGCGAGGCAGAGAAGGTGGACATCAGCCCCTGCTGGCTGCCTGTCCTGCTCAGCCCAGTGTCACTCATGGACACCACGACCTGCCTCACCAGCTCTCAGTGCAGCCCGAGTCCAGGGCAGGGGCACAGGTGTGGCGAGGCTGAGAGGCAACTGGGCCTCCACGGCTGCAGGATTCATTGAGCCTACTCACTGGGTCCTTCCCAGAACTGACCAGGCCTATGGGGCAGTGTGGACCAACGCTGGCTTCTCTGACTCAGCGGTCTGCACAGGAGCTGGTGTGGCTCTAGTGCTAACTTCTCCCCAGATCTCATTGCCCAGATGTGAAGTCACCTGGCCACAGTTCAGCCCTCAAGGTGGTCACTGGGCACGGGTCACCGGGACCTCGCCCTGACCCCTTGGGGTCGTCGCCTGGCCATGTCCCAGCCCACGGGGTGGTCATGCTGTTTCTCCTGTCCTCTGCAGCGCAGAGCCCTCGCCCACCTACTACGAGTTTGTGGGAGTGCGTAGTTGCCAGGACGTGGTCCACCTCTACCGGCTGCTCTGGGTCTCGATGGTGCTCAACGTCTTGGGCCTGTGTGTGGGCATCATCACAGCCGCAGTCCTGGGGGCCTTCAAGGACATGGTGAGTGGCACCGTGTGTTTCCAGCCAATGGTCAGGGCGTGGTTCCTTCTGTGGGCTCCCTAACAGGAGCCCGCTGGGCCATCTGGGCAGCGGCCAGCACCCATAACCATGGTGTGTGGGGACAGCTGGTGCTCACTGCCAGCTTGCCACGGAAACGTCCGCCTCAGCCCCTTACAGAGCCCCTAAGTCCACCTTTGCCTCAGAAGTAGCCACACCCAGTCCCCACTTAAGAGATGAAGCTTAGGTCACCCGGGTCACCCGGGGTGTTGACGGCAGCCTGCAGTTGGCAGGTCTGGGCTGGTTTAAGTAGGCTGCAGGCCAGAGGCCCCAGGGTGGCCACCGGCTCTTTCCAGTGTGTGGACCCGCTGCTCAGCCCCGTGCATCCAGGGCTTCTATTCCCAGAAAGCCCTGTGGAGCCAGGGGAGGCCCAGCCTTCCCTGCAGGCTCCCACCGGCCCCGGGTGGGAGTTCCCCTCCAAGGAGATCTGTCAAATGCCCGGGGTGCAGCGCTGACACCTTCCCTTCTCCCACAGGTCCCTCTCTCCCAGACGGCCTACGGTCCACCTCCTCCACCTCAGATCCTCTACAACCCTGCCCAGCAGATCTTGGCCTACACAGGCTTCTGTCCATCGCCCCCCACGGTGCCAACCTGCTCGTCCTACCCACTGCCCCTTCAGGTAGGTGCGTGCCACCTGCATAGCCAGGTGTGTCCTGTGCACAGTGGTCACTGGTGCTGGCTGCTGCCCAGACGGTGCAGGGCCTGCAGGTGGAGGACCACCCAGGTGGTGGTGAGCCCGCTGGGGGCCACACAGGCCGACGTGGCGTCTGGGGCCTTGTTGCTGTCCGTGGCCCTGGCCGTCGTGTCGTTCTGCCAGCTCCTGCTGTTTTCTTCCTGGCTGTGAGCTGTCCCACCAGGCCAGAGCCGCTGAGGCACAGCCGTCGCCCTAGTGGCTGGACGCCCACAAGCACAGCACAGCGAGGTCATCAGGCAGAGCACAGGTTTTCCAGAGCCCACCACCTTTCCTACAGGATGGCAACTTCACAGGGTCTGTCCGAGCAGTGCTGTGGGGCCGGGGCCTCCGTGAAGGAGGCGCCATACTCTCCTGTAGGCAGGGACTTTGCCTCCCTCAGGTCCATCTTGCCTTTGGCTGCTGCACGTGTGGGGCTGTGGTGGCCATGGTGAAGCAGGCCCAGGTCCAGCGGGACCCTGACTCAGTGCCTCGGCACTGGGCCTCTGGGGTGTCATCATCTGGCAGGCTTCTGGGCACTGCAAGGTGTTGGACAGGCCCTGGTCTCGGCCCTTGTGAGCAGGGACTCCCGGTTGTGACCATCGAAGCCATTTCACATGCTGCAGCATCACTGGGGCAGCGGGAGCCCTGCCCCACCAGAGCCGGCTTATGTCCTGTGGAGGCTCCTGACAGCCTGCTGACTGGGCTTCTGGCGGTCAGTGGCAGCCGTACCTGCAGACTGCGCGTGGGTGTCCTGTGGAAGCAGGCATCCCAGGCGCTGTGGGCAGCGGAGCCGAAGTCAGGTCTTCAGATGCTCCTTGAGGAGGCCTGCACCCCAGCAGCAGATTGGTAGGAGGTAAGACCCGAGGAGAGAGTGACCACGTGGGACATTGTGTGTACCCTAGCCCTGGCCGTCTGGAGCAGAGGGTCCGTTGAGGCTCCAGGAACTGACTCCATGCAGCGGCCAGGTGTGAGCTGCGCCTGAGAGCTGTGAGACCGTCTCAGCTCCAGGTCTTAAGGAGATGCGGTGGCAGTATGTGGCTCCAAAGCAGGTGTGGGACTGGCACGTGGACCGGAGCAGAGATCCCATCAGGTGTTCTGCCAGGGATGCGGCAAGCTGTGGCTCAGGGATGTGAAGCCTCTGTGCTGGCCCCTCCTGCCCCTTCTCTCTGTGCCTGAGTCTCATCTGGAAACGAAGCCAGGGCCATGCCCTGGGGCCCTTGAACTCAAGAGGAGAGGCCAATGCAGGGTCCTCTGAGGCTGGGGAGCTGGTCCAGGCTTGTGAGTGACCGCTGGAAGGATGTGCCAGAGGAGCCCCTGGTTGGCTCCAGGGCTGGCCCCCAGAGGCCAGGTGCTCCTGCCCTGGGGAACCCCAGGCCGCCTCAGGGCAAGACCTGGTGCAGAGGGAGTCTGCCACGGCTGGGATGGAAGGTGCTGGTCAGGTTCAGAAGTGACGAGATGTTGGCCAAGGACCCTGCAGTGTGGTGGCCCACCGTGGAGGGTCCGTTTGAGCTGTGGCCTCCGTCTTCCCCGTGAGCTGCTCCACAGCTGCCTTGGGGACAACAGTCCTGGCCCTATCACAGAAAGCGCCTGTCCGCTAGCTCCAGCCACGGGCAGGGGCGCCACCTGCCCTCCTTGCCTCATCTGCGGTTTTGCTGGACACAGGAAAATGCCACATCCTGCCCTGGCAGGTGCTCCCAGGGACACAGGGGCACCAGGAACACGTGATGCAGCTCAGCCTGCCTGGCCAGTGCCCTCCCTCCTGACACCTGCTGCCCACGAGCAGTGACCAGGGATGCACTGTTCCCCAGCCCAGTGCTCCTATCTGGGTGGGCCTCGGGCTGCTAGATCTTGGTGCCTTCTCTTGGTAGAGTCTGTCTGGGGGAGCACGGAAGTCCTCCCCAGCCTGGATGCCCACCTGGGCCGTGACCCTGCTCTGAGAGGCAGTGGCCCAGGCAGGAGCTGAGCGTGACTCTTGGCCGGGACCTCTGTGGGCTGGTGTCCTCCAGGCAGGAACTGGCCCCTTCATCCCGGGGCAGACCTGGGCGTCCGGGAAAAGGGACAGCTGAGCATCTACCACCAGCAGGTGCGGCTTGCCGTGGACCCGTGGAGATAACCAGGCCTGGGAGGAGAGGGCAGCCTGAGGAGCCGCATCTCCTCAGAACAGCGAGCAGATGCTCGGCTCCCGCCAAGAGAAGAAGGGAAAGGAAGTCTTTAGAGCTCTGCGGCAGTCCTGAGCCAAGCATCCAGGACAGCCCCAGGGCGGAGCGGCCCTGCACAGGCTGTGAGTCGGAGCAAAATGAACACTGAAAGGCTCCTCTCCCACACCCAGTGGGTTCCCCAATGAGTGAGGAGGGACTGGGAGAGGCCGAGCTTCACTGGAGTGCTGGAAGTGAGGGGTCTGTCCACCCTGTGTCGGGCCAGTACCCGGCGAGGCCCCTTCTATGGGAACTTCCTCTGTGGTTCCTGGGGCGTCCTCTGTGGTTCCTGGGGCGTCCTCTGTGGTTCCTGAGGGCGTCCTCTGTGGTTCCTGGGGCTTCCTCTGTGGTTCCTGGGGCGTCCTCTGTGGTTCCTGGGGCGTCCTCTGTGGTTCCTGGTTTTCCTCTGTGGTTCCTGGGGCGTCCTCTGTGGTTCCTGGGGCGTCCTCTGTGGTTCCTGGGGCGTCCTCTGTGGTTCCTGAGGGCATCCTCTGTGGTCCTGGTTTTCCTCTGTGGTTCCTGGGGCATCCTCTGTGGTTCCTGGGGCGTCCTCTGTGGTTCCTGGGGCGTCCTCTGTGATTCCTGGGGCGTCCTCTGTGGTTCCTGGTTTTCCTCTGTGGTTCCTGGTTTTCCTCTCTGGTTCCTGAGGGCGTCCTCTGTGGTTCCTGGGGCGTCCTCTGTGGTTCCTGGTTTTCCTCTGTGGTTCCTGGGGCGTCCTCTCTGGTTCCTGGGGGCGTCCTCTGTGGTTCCTGGGGCGTCCTCTGTGGTTCCTGGGGCGTCCTCTGTGGTTCCTGGGGCTTCCTCTGTGGTTCCTGGGGCGTCC